AATTGAGAAACTACCTCGCAATGTCCTTGTTTGACAATCAGCAGTTAGCGGTTAGCGTTAACGAATTATATTAGCGGATTTGACCAGCGAATTATATCAACGGTTGGTAAAAAGGTATTTGAAAAAATTAGCTTTTTAAATTAACATTTAAAATGATCTAAGGGTATACATATATTTAATAATAATAATAATAATAATAATAATAATAATAATAATAATAATTCGTTATTATAGATAGGTAGATAGATTATAGTATAGTATTAGTATTATTATTATTACTATTATTATTATTATTATTATTATTATCTAAAAACATAATAAGCCTCAATTAAGGTTATATCCTTGATTTATGTCCCTCTTTTTGTAATCAAATAAATATGTACATTTTGCTTTAAATATTGTACATTTCAACGTTATTAGACAAAATTACCCTTACACCGTTATAACAACGTTAGTTTTTAATTCTAACATTGATAACACATCATTATTACCATACACCTATATCTATTATATCTTTTCCTATTTTTTAATTAACATTTTATTAAAATCATTATATATTAATTTAATGCTTAATTATATTTTAATTAAATTTCTATGAATGATAAATTATATATGTGTGTGTACAAAATACATATATTACTTGTGTATATATAATTCAAATTATAATTTTTAATTATTTGTATTTATCAATGTTTTAATATTTGACATAAATTTTTGCACATCGTGCGTACAAAATGCTAGTTATTATAATAAATAGTAATAGTAATTATAGTAATAATAATGGGCTAATAGGATGATTCCGCGTTTCTGTGTTGTTATTAAGGCTGATTTTAGGTTTTGAATTAAGGATTGATTTAATTAAAGTTGATTTAATTTAAATAATTTAATTGATGGTTGAATTTAGTTTAGGATGATTTAATTTAATTAAGGATGATTATTTGTAATACTAAATATATAGGCTGATTTAATTTAAATGATTTAATTAAAGATGATTTAATTTAATTAAGGATGATCCAATTTAATTAAGAATAATTATTTGGAATACTAAATATATAGGCTGATTTAATTTAAATGATTTAATTAAGGACGATTTAATTTAATTAAAGATGATCATTCATTCATTTGTAATACTAAGTATATATAGGGTGATTTAATTCAGATAATTTAATTTAATTAAAATACTATACTATAATAACGAATTATTATTACTATAATAATAATAATAATAATAATAATAATAATAATAACTAATATTATATTCTTCTTTTACTCAACATGTTAAATTACATGAATTACATAAATTTATTTCTAAATTGACTAATTCGGTACTCAACATGTTAAATTACATGAATTACATAAATTTATTTCTAAATTCGTTATTATTATTATTATTATTATTATTATTATTATTATTATTATTGTTATTATTACTATTATTATTATCATAGTAAATTATAGTAAATAGTAATTATAGTAATAATAATTCGTTAAGGCTAATAGGATGTGTGATTCCGCATTTCTGTATGTGAAAAATTTGTTCTGTATGTGAATTATTACTACTATAATAATTACTAATATATATATATATATATATATATATATATATATATATATATATATATAATAGTAACTAATATTATATTCTTCTTTTATTCAACATGTTAAATTACATGAATTACATGAATCTATTTATTATAAATTAATATGAATACAATAAATGTTTTCACATTTGGATGGAAAATTTTTGGGAATTACATGAATCTATTTATAAATTAATATGAATACAATAAATGTTTTTACATTTGGAGGGAAAATTTTTGGGACAATTATTTTGCTTTAATATATTATATAGAGATAGAGATATATATAGAGATGTGTGTGTGTGTGTGTGTGTGTGTATATATATATATGTATATATATATATATATATATATATATATATATATATATATATATATATATATATATATATATATATATATATCGCGTTCAAATGAGAAAGGATGGATACACTGATTTAAAAAAAATGCGGTAGTATTTTCATAAATAATTAAACATCGAAGTGTAAGTAAAATGTATTACAAGTGCAATTAACAGTTTTATATAGTGTACCTAAGTGCATGTAAAATGTATTACAAGTGCAAGTAATATATATTACATGTGCTAGTAAAATTTACATTGAGCATCAATAGTAAGTGCACCTAACGTTATAACCAATTGCACCTAACGTTATAACAGTTGCACCTAGGTGCACGAATGTTAACAAGATAAATTACTTGCACTTGTAAGTGAAAATAGGTGCACTTGTTTACTTGCAAAGTTGCACCACCTACTTGCACTTATTACACAATTACTTGCACCAAAGTTTGAGTTATTTACGAAAATGTCGTCGTGTTGTTTTTTTTATATTAAATCTGATTCGTTGATCTGGACAGCTGTAAATGGTTCTTATTTCTCTTCTGGGCACTTGTTCTCATTAGAGCGTGCCCATATATATATATATATATATATATATATATAACGTGTCTTGTGTTATGAATTTTTGTGTCTCATGTTATGTAATTCTGTACCTTAAAAGTATTGATTCTGTATCTAGAATAAATTAAAATTTGTGTTGAAAATGAGAAACGAGAAACTACATACCGTCGTTTTGATTTAGGGTCGACAATGCTACGTGGACCCTCCGATCCACGATATAAATTGCCCCCATTCATATAGAGGTTTAGTACATAGACTTCCAAATTTTACTCATTGATGTGACGGACTCTGATAAGCTACTTTTTTATATGGGTTCTAAATCTACGTCAGTGGAAATATAAATTGAGAGTAAAAAATGAGAGTACACATAATATTTTTCACACATGCATGCGTACCTTTGATATTATTACATTCTAATTGGTCCAAATTTTATAAACCAGAACGCTACAAAGTATAATGATACATTTTCAGTTTCAACATTGCAAACCTTCGTTGTCAATTGCCATTTTTTGGTTTTATATGATAGCCTCCGGAATATTGTTGGCGCGCACCACTATCCATCCTTTATATCTTGTCGTCTCTGATTAGTCTTCTTCTACTATATCCTTACTCCTCTCTGAACCTACCAATATTATACAACACGGAGAGAAGAGAACCGAGAAGAACTATAGAAGAGGAGAAAAGGATAAAAATAAGAAGCTGCTGCTTTTCTTGAATAATCTGTGAGTCCCATTTTTTTTGGATTCTTCTCATAATCCAATTATGATTAAACCTCCTGAGCAACATGTATATTTATATTTGTTTCAATAGATTGGGATGTACCCAGATTTTGATTATGTTTCCCATGGATTTGATTAGTCTAAATTTGGTTGTTTTAGAGATTTTTTAAATCTTTTGGTAGTGGTACAGATATATGATTGTTACAAGTCTGTAAAAAAAATATGTGGTTATTGATTAATGTGTTGTTCATGGTTACTTTAACCCCATAAATGCAGAGTCTTTTTTTTTTTTTTGTAAACCACAATGTGGTCCGGGTCTTCTATGTACGTTTAACAGTCCAAATCTACCCGGTTCGCTCCCAGAGGCACAGAAGCTGGCCCAAAGGAAATCTATCACTTGTGAGAATCAAACCCAGGTTATCGTGGAATTCTCTCCCACAAAGAGAGCTCATTTGCCACTTGAACTACCATGTTGGGTTTAAATGCAGAGTCTTGGTTCCAATGGGAAGATGGGAACATAACAATTGAAACTTTACTTGCATAGGTGGTTCTTCGTTGATTGACGGAGGAACCCACGGGCTCTTTTATTTGCTGAAATGGAGTCTAATATCAGTGAGAAGCTATTGGAAAACTCAGTAGAGGAAGTGAAGATAGGGGAGAAGATATGTTGTGAGATGAAGAAAATGTCAGTTGTGGTTCTTCCTGCAATATTCAATAGATTCTCGACATTTGGGATTACTGTCATCAGCCTGTCATTCATTGGCCACATTGACCCTATAGATCTTGCTGCCTATGCTTTAGTACAAACCGTGCTGTTAAGGTTCTGCAATGGAGTACTGGTAAGTTAGTCGTGTTTGACAGTTTTTACAAGTTAAGAAAATGTTAAACAATTTTATTAGTTGAATTGTATTTGCAGTTGGGCATGGCGAGTGGATTGGAAACTCTATTGGGGCAAGCTTTTGGTGCAAAACAGTATCACATGATGGGCATATATCTTCAGAGAGCATGGATTGTGTTGAGTGTAACCACGACTTCACTGTTACCTCTATATTTCTTTACTACTCCAATATTTAAAGCACTGGGCCAGGAAGAAGAAATTGCTCAGGTGACAGGAATCGTTTCTAAATGGTTGATACCGGTGGCATATGCCTTCATTCCATCGTATACCTGCCAAATGTTCCTGCAAGCACAGAGCAAGAACGTTATTATTGCGTATTTGGCAGCAGCTACACTGGCGATTCATTTATTCCTATCCTGGCTCTTGACAGTGAAGTTGGAGTTTGGACTTGCGGGTGCCATGATTTCTACTATATTGGCGTTCTGGATTCCTAATTTTGGTCAGCTTTTATTTGTTATGTGTGGAGGGTGTAAAGAAACATGGAGGGGTTTTTCATTCTTGGCCTTTAAGGATCTCTTGCCAGTAATCAAGCTTTCCTTGTCAGCTGGTGCCATGGTCTGGTGAGGCTATATATAAATTATTATATTTTAACTGATCTTTATAGTCATGAAATCATTATATTCTTTGATTTTTTTGTGGCAGTCTTGAGCTCTGGTACTATTCGATACTGATTCTTCTTACAGGAAACTTAGAAAATGCTAAGGTTCAAATCGATGCTCTTTCTATATGGTTAGTCCATTGCCCGCTGTTTTGTTTAGGATCTGTATATATCCTTATGAGCTTCAGTTCTCCACTGAACAAGTTGCTTTAATTTTGTGTAGCCTCAACATCAGTGGCTGGGAAATTATGATATCTTTTGGTTTCATGGCAGCAGCATGGTAATAATGCATAGTATCACAACACACAATTTCTTTTGATTTGTGTTTACTGTCTTGCTTCGACACTCGTTTTTTTTTTTTTTTTTTTGGATGCCAGTGTGCGGGTAGCAAACGAGCTGGGAAAGGGAAGTGCAAAGGCAGCCAAGTTCTCCATCAATGTGGTCGTGCTAACATCCTTCTCCCTCGGAGTCGTGCTATTCCTGTTCTTCCTGTTCCTGCGCGGGAACCTGGCTTACCTGTTCACCACTAGCTACGACGTGGTCCAGGCGGTTGATCAGATGTCACCTCTATTAGCATTTTCTATACTTCTAAATAGTGTTCAACCAGTTCTTTCTGGTAAAAGCTTGCCTGCAGCCTTATCTCCTAAACCGTATTAAGTTGTACTAAGTAGTATTGATTTTTGGTTGGGTTTTGGTTGATTCAGGTGTTGCTGTTGGGGCGGGTTTGCAGAGTACTGTGGCATATGTTAACCTGGGATGCTATTACTTGATAGGAATCCCGGTTGGTGTCGTTCTTGGTTATGTCCTCAAACTCCAAGTTAAGGTGAGTAAAAGATACTTTTGTAGTTTTGTTATCTAATCTATGTTATGTTTTACATAGAGGAAACCAATCATACCATTATAGTATCAAAACCTCATCACCTGCAGCTGCGTACTGGCCTTCTTAGTTTGAGCTGGCCACTAAGAAGGCGGAATTTGCCAATTTATTACCTTGTGACGCTTTGCCAGCTAGAGTCACAAGACGAGGTTTACCCAATACACACTGATAGAGAATATACTCTGGTACGGTCTATGGCACTCCTTATACCCAGAACCTGATCAGGTACGAGTTGCCTCAAGACCGGGATTATTTCCCGACCAGAGCGCAGCGACTGGCCGACCCGACCTTGGGTTCATTGGCCCGATAAGCCCTTACCTTAACATTTCTACGTTCAGGCCCGACCCCGAGCATGCATGAACACTTTATAGCTAAACCAATCCCAGCAAGTAACTAGCTAGACAAATACATTCTTACACGTGCACGTTTCTCCTTAGCCGACTAGATTACCAAATGCATGAAGGACACTTGGCGTACATGCCGGCCTCTCGGCATATGTCCCTTGAATTCCCTATAAATACCTTGCTAGGTGACAGTAGAGGAGACTTTTGGCAACTTTTTTATAGCCTTATTTAGCTCGGGAACCTCCGGTATCACGCCAAATCCCGAGTTTAACACATTAAACCAACAAGCAGACCACAGAAGGGCCGTAACGTATTCATAGCAACCCCGGATATTTACTACATCACACACCATCGGGTAGTGCTGTGGGTTTCTCACTTTCCCTCGTCATTAAAAAAAAAAAAAAAACTCAGCATAAAGCAGTTCTTAATTGATGAATTGTTGTGCAGGGTGTGTGGATAGGAATGCTGTTTGGTACGTTTTTACAGACCATTATATTGCTTGTAATCACCTTCAAAACCGACTGGGATAAACAGGTAATTGGCATGACTTCTTCCCCTTCAATTCATTTGAACAATGAAACTCCCAGGCATCATCCCTCATTCACATCTGAATATCTGATGCAGGTTGAAGATGCTCAGAAACGTGTCCGGAAGTGGGTGGTAGAACCTGAAACTGGAGACGCAAATGGCCAGGATGCTTAGCTTATTCCTCCCAAAATTTTCACTGTCGGACACAGTGACTAATCCCCTTTGATGAAATGTAGGCACCTTTAATGGGTACCCCTCTTTGCTTATTTACCAATATGGAATAACAGCTTTTGGAATTTATCATCAAACTACACATGAATAGGATGGTGGTATTACAAAAAATATGCTTCATTTTATGAATTATTTGGAATAGTGATGTGTTGCTGAATCCAAGTTTTGTTCGGTATGGGATATATAAATGCCCAGTGTTAGGTACACTTCACTATTAGCATTGAGAAATTCTATTTGCACCGCCCTATTTGCTATTTACACCACTTATTTAATAGGTATAGTAACTTTATAGATGGTGCAAATATAAAAGTGCTATTTGCACCACCTCATTAAATATAGTCAAACATTAATATTTATTATTTATTTTTATTTAATAATCAAATTACCAAAAAAAAAAAAAAAAAACTTCTCCCGTGAAAAAACTATGGGCTGCCTTCTTCATGAAATAGACGCAAATTATGCTGTGCAACCGAATGCACCATGCGCATGGTGCATTCGATGCAAAACGACGTTGTTTTGATTAAAAAAACGCACGTCCCACTTAAAAAAGAAATCAGGTTCAATTTTCGGCAATAGCATTTTTATATATCTATAAATTCATAACTATATATCCATAAATTTATAACTATATATCCACAAATTCATAACTATATATCCACAGTGAATGAATGAAGTAAAAATCCACAATGAATTAAGTAAAAATCCACAATGAATGAACTAAATATCCACAATGATTGAACTAAATATCCACAATGATTGAACTAAATATCCACAATGAATGAACTAAATATCCATAAATTCATAACTATATATCCAGAAATTCATAACTATATATCCACAGTGAATGAATGAAGTAAATATCTACAATGAATAAACTAAATATCCACAATGAATGAACTAAATATCCATAAATTCATAACTATATATCTAGAAATTCATAACTATATATCCACAATAATGCTATTGCCGAGAATCGAACTTGAATTTTTTTTTTAAGTGACACACGCGTTTTTAATTAAAACGACGTCGTTTTGCATCGTATGCACCATGCGCATGGTTCATTCGGTTGCACAGCATAACTATTGTGAAATAGGTAGGTGGGCCCCTTCCAAGCGTGCCTAGAACCGGGCCTGGTTGTGGGGGCACCTTGGACGAGAGATTTCGACTTTTGCATCAAAGAATCACAATGCTTTGTCTTTTTTGAAAATCATGAGGACAAATGGATTATTGGCTTGAAAATATATAGAAATATCATTGAATTTTGACTTTTTAAGAAAAAATAATAACAAGCATTCAATATTTGGTATTTCCTAATTTGATTAACAAAAAAACAATCACATAAGGCAACACATGCACACGTTAGTGGAGAGTTAAATTTGTATATATCAAGTTACTTGATAACTAATACTCCATAGATCCATAGAAAAAATGAGTGAAAATGAGTTTAAATAATTGACAGAGTAGACAGTAACGAGCAAAAGCACAAGTGCGCAATCACCCGTGCATCAATTCAAAACAAAGTCCAAGTCCAGGCACCGGTATACGTACACATGTGCATTCCTTTCCAGAATGCACAAAAAGAAGTAGTGTTTCTAATAATAGTAGTGCACTGGCACAGGCATTTCCGTGCACTGCCTTCTAATGTGCTAAAAAAGTAATGATTCCATAATAATGATACATACTTTCTCAATCTACGAAAACACAAAGATTCAATACTCCCACAGTGAGATTTAAACCTGAGACTTCTCATTTAAGAGGGCACAGCTATGCCATTCGATTACAAGATTTTTAATATTATTATAATATTATTATTGCCCGCATTATATTGTTCTAATATTATTTCCAGTTCCGGTGATGGAGTTGTTAAGACAGAGATTCGAATTTGATTTAAATAATAATTGATGAAGACTAGTTTACTTTAATTTGAACGTATTGTCGTTTTATATATAGAGTACACATCACTTGGCTTCATCCATAATCCCATACTCCCACTGCATTACATAACTGGAAAGTTTTATAAGGATAATATATTTTGATTGTCGCATTTCGTATGTGATTAATAAGTAAATTTTTTTGATAACATAAGAGAGCTTGATTAATTCACACAATAATCAATGGATACAGAGAATTTAATTATCCCGTCAAATGGTAAAAAAGTTAAATACTTTTTTTTGTTGTTCTTGTAATTCTATTAGTTATGTGTGTATATAAATTTTACTTCATAGACTCCTAAATTTGTACTGCCTAAGAACATCCCAAAAAGGGGATTTTGAACCAAATTTTAAGAAATTAGGGTGAAGTGGAGAAAAGAGAGAGGAGAGAGAGAAATGGTGGGGTGGCCCTGCAAAAATGGAGATTTTGTAGAAGTAATGGGTCCCACTATGAGAGAGAAAAAGGGTGGAGTGGCCCGGCAAAAATGGAGATTTTGTAGAAGTAGTGGGCCCCACTATGGGAGAGAAAGATGCGCCTCATGTGCGTGAGCTGTGAGGCGCAATTCTCGTGCCCAGGCTGGCGCGGGCGCGTATATATATATATATATATATATATATATATATATATATATATATATATATATATATATATATATATATATATATAATTTTAGTTTTCTTTTTTTTTCGCTTTCATTTTTTCTTTTCTAATCACACCTGTAAAATTCACTCAAAATTTTGTGTGTAGGAGTATAAGTTGGGAGGACAAAATTAGGAGTAAATATAGTATTTTTCTTCTCCCAATAATCCAATATAGTATTTTTCTTCTCCCAATAATCCAATATAGTATTTTTCATTCATGTGCATGGTATAATTTCTTCTTACCTTTGATATTATTACATTCTAACTAGTCCAAATTTTATAAACCACAACGCTACAAAATATAATGATACCTTTTCAGTTTCAACATTGCAAACCTTCATTGTCAATTGCCATCAAACGTCCACGCCATTTTTTTGTTGTTTTATATGATCGCCTCCGGAATATTGTTGGCGCGCACCATCGTCTATCCTTTATACTCTTGTCGTCTTTGATTAGTCTTCTTCTACTATATATCCTTACTCCTCTCCACTCCGGATGAACCTACCAAGATTATACATTTATACAACACACACGGAGAGAAGAGAACCGAGAAGAACTATAGAAGAGGAGAAAAGGATAAAAATAAGGAGCTGCTGCTTTTCTTGAATAATCTGTGAGTCCCACGTTTTTTTTTTTTTTTTTTTTTTTGCATTTTCTCATAATCCAATTATGATTAAATCTCACGCGCAACATGTATATTTGTATTTGTTTCAATAGATTGGGGTGTACCCAGATTTTGATTATGTTTCCCATGAATCTGATTAGTCTAGATTTGGTTGTTTTAGAGATTTTTTAAATCTTTTGGTAGTGGTAGAGATATATGATTGTTACTAGTCTGTAAAAAAAATATGTGGTTATTGATTAATGTGTTGTTCATGGTTACTTTAACCCCATAAATGCAGAGTCTTGGTTCCAATGGGAAGATGGGAACATAACAATTGAAACTTTACATTGCAAGTTTGCAACAACTTACTTTACTAGATTGAACTAATTTGTGCAGAGCTTAGCTCAATGGTTCAGTAGGCAGTAGGAAAAAGAGAAAAAAGTTCGAATCTCGGTGACGGCAATGTGGAGAAGTGAGCATACATTTGACCATGTTTGCTGAGTCATTGAGTCACTGTGATTTACATCTTCCCAAATGCTCTGTTGGGCCAGGGTTGGGGGTTCAACCTTTTGGGAGAAATTGAACTAATTTGAAATACATTTTATTCTTTGGTTTTTTTTTTCTTACAGTATTATCAAAGGATTGCAAGTTAAGTATGCTGTGTTTATTACAAGTCAAGGTTCATTATCCTTGTGTGTTTCTTGAATTTTCTTGGTTGAGTTCTTGCATTCCATTATTAAGGTTAAATGGCTATGCTCATATTTCACTGCCAGAGTATCTTAACCTGCAGCACTTTAGTTTGCATAGGTGGTTCTTCGTTGATTAACGGAGGAACCCACGGGCTCTTTTATTTGCTGAAATGGAGTCTGATATCAGTGAGAAGCTATTGGAAAACTCAGTAGAGGAAGTGAAGATAGGGGAGAAAATATGGTGTGAGATGAAGAAAATGTCGGTTGTGGCTCTTCCTGCATTATTTAATAGATTCTCCACATTTGGGATTACTGTCATCAGCCAGGCATTCATTGGCCACATTGACCCTATAGATCTTGCTGCCTATGCTTTAGTACAAACCGTGCTGTTAAGGTTTTGCAATGGAGCACTGGTAAGTTAGTCGTGTTTGACAGTCCGTTAAAGTTTTTACAAGTTAAGAAAATGTTGAAACAATTTAAGTTGAATTATTGTGTGTGCAGTTGGGCATGGCGAGTGGATTGGAAACTCTATTGGGGCAAGCTTTTGGTGCAAAACAGTATCACATGATGGGCATATATCTTCAGAGAGCGTGGATTGTGTTGAGTGCAACCACGACTTTACTGTTACCTCTATATTTCTTTACAACTCCAATATTTAAAGCACTGGGCCAGGAAGAAGAAATTGCGCGGGTGACAGGAACCATTTCTAAATGGTTGATACCGGTGGCATATGCCTTCATTCCATCGTATACCTGCCAAATGTACCTGCAAGCACAGAGCAAGAACGTTATTATTGCGTATTTGGCAGCAGCTACACTGGCGATTCATGTATTCCTATCCTGGCTCTTGACAGTGAAGTTGGAGTTTGGACTTGCGGGTGCCTTGATTTCTACTATATTGGCATTCTGGATTCCTAATTGCGGTCAGCTTTTATTTATTATGTGTGGAGGGTGTAAAGAAACATGGTCGGGTTTTTCATTCTTGGCCTTCAAGGATCTCTTGCCAGTAATCAAGCTTTCCTTGTCAGCTGGTGCCATGGTCTGGTAATTATTATATTTTAACTGATCTTTATAGTCACGAAATCAGATATTCCATTGGTGTGCTTGAAATCATTATATTCTTTGATTTTTTGTGGCAGTCTTGAGCTCTGGTACAATTCGATACTGATTCTTCTTACAGGAAACTTAGAAAATGCTAAGGTTCAAATCGATGCTCTTTCTATATGGTTAGTCCATTGCCCCGGGCCAATTTCCTGCTGTTTGTTTAGGATTCTTCTTACAGGAAACTTAGAAAACTTTAATATTTTGTAGCCTCAACATCAGTGGCTGGGAAATGATGATATCTCTCGGTTTCATGGCAGCAGCATGGTAATGCATTGTATCACAACACACAATTTCTTTTGATCTGCGTTTACTTTCTTGCTTCCACACTCTGATTCTGTTATGTTTTTGGATTCCAGTGTGCGGGTATCAAACGAGCTGGGAAGGGGAAGTGCAAAGGCGGCCAAGTTCTCCATCAATGTGGTCGTGCTGACATCCTTCTCCATCGGAGTTGTGCTATTCCTTTTTTTCCTGTTCCTGCGCGGGAACCTGGCTTACCTGTTCACCACTAGCTACGACGTGGTCCAGGCGGTTGATCAAATGTCACCTCTATTAGCATTTTCTATACTTCTAAACAGTGTTCAACCAGTTCTTTCTGGTAAAAGCTTGCCTGCACCCTTAATTATCTCCTAAACCGTATTAAGTAGTACTGATTTTTGGTTGGGTTTCGGTTGATTCAGGTGTTGCTGTTGGGGCGGGTTGGCAGAGTACTGTGGCATATGTTAACCTGGGATGCTATTACTTGATAGGAATCCCGGTCGGTGTCGTTCTTGGTTATGTCCTCAAACTCCAAGTTACGGTGAGTTGATACTTTTCTTATCTAATCTATGTTATGTTTTACATAGAGGAAACCAATCATACCATTATAGTATCAAAACCTCAGCACTGGGAGTTGCTTACTGGCTTTCTTAGTTTGAGCCGACCACTCGGTCAGCTATAAGCAACTTAAACTGGTTTACCTTGTGACCCTTTGCCGGGTAGAGTCACAAGGCAGGGTTTACCCAATGAAGCCGTTCTTAATTGATGAATTGTGGTGCAGGGTGTGTGGATAGGAATGCTGTTTGGTACGTTTGTACAGACCATGGTATTGCTTGTAATCACCTTCAAAACCGACTGGGATAAACAGGTAATTGGGGCATGACTTCTTCCCCTTTCATTTGAACAATGAAACTCCCAGGCATCATCCCTCATTCACATCTGATGCAGGTTGCAGATGCTCAGAAACGTGTCCGGAATTGGGTGGTCGAACCTGAAACTGGAGACGCAAATGGCCGGGATGCTTAGCGTATCCTTCTAAGAGTTTTCAGTGTCGGACAGAGTGACTAAAATTAGGGTGGTGGTATTACAAAAAATATGCTTCAATTTATGAATTATTTTGAATAGTGATGTGTCTGCCGAATCCAAGTTTTGTTCGGTATGGGATATCAATGCCTAGAGTTAGGTACACTTCATTATTAGCATTTTGACATTTAGTCTGCAACTTTAATTTTAGGTTCAATAAAGATGTTCTATAACATTTGACCACCCGACCAATTAATCTCTTCGTTAATTATGATTATATATTTATATGAATACTTGTGTCAAAAATTTAAACACAAAAATAGGATTCATTAATCTCTGAATTCTTTTCTCTCTAATTTCTTGATTTGGGTAGAGAAATGGTCCTTTGAACATATAAAAAGATCATGAGATCGTTGTGTGTCATCACAAATAGTTTAATTGGTTCTTGGGTAGTAAATTACATTCATTGATGCAAGATTGAATTCTAATAGTCGCAATATGTGTGTTTTACTCTCTTGTAGGTCACCTAGATATTTTCGGACATACTTTTGAGTTTTGAGTGTGTTGATTTAGATTGAGTCAAAGTGGATATGTGTTCTCTTATGTCATAGCTTTAATTCGATATATAATATGCTCAAAATGGATAATGAGATTGATTTTCAAAGTATTGAGTGGAATAACTTAGAGACGTTCTCTTCGCGTTTAAGGGATGTGCGGTATTTTTCGATAACTTAAAATCTCATTGTCTTCCTGGTGCAAAATGACGGCGTTATTGTACTTTTTTTTTTTTTTTGAGAAATTTCATTTTCCGTGTATGCTGCTAATTTCTTATTTAAAAAAAAAAAAATCATGTTTTGAAAATGTACATAATTGCATAACGGAATATACAGAATTGTATAACAAAATGTACATAATTGTATAACAGAATACACATACTCTTTTTTGAAACCACAATACATATAATCTAACATAATACACACAAACTTTTAAAATAATACACATAAACTTTTAACTCTTAAAAAAGATCCATTGTTTCGAACGTACATAATTGTATAAAAGAATGTACATAATTGTATAAAAAATATATATAATTATATATATAAAAAAAATCTTCATAATTATATAACAGAATGTACGTAATTGTATAACAGCATGTCGCGTCAAATTCCCTACACAATTTAACAAAATAACTATTATTTTGGAAAATGGGGACGCACATTACTACGTGCGTCGTGGTGCACGTTAAAAGGATTGCCCCTTCTAGCATTGGGCCATGGGAAAGCGCTTAAACTTGCCCGCCGTCAAAGCTGGTATTGTTAGCCCTTTGGATAATGTTTAACCCCTCGGATTGATCCAATGGTCACCGTGGCAATCATAAATTTCACCAAAAATTCGACTTCTGCAATGTCGAGCTTGAACTCTTAACTGCTTTTAAAATTTTTAGATATACCAAAGATTTATCTATCATCTATCAAATACGGAGTAATATTTATGAGTCTAGGTGACATGACTTTCTTGGAGTTGGCACGATTAAACATTTTCTACCAATAGTATATATTTGATTAAAAAAAAAAAAAAAAAAAACAATGTGAACTACATTTATAAATTTATTCAAATTAAATATTGTAAATAAAATATAAAACTACTAATATAGTCATGAAACTGAAAAGTGAGAATATAATTGGGCTTGTTTGGTTATCAGCAGTTAGCGGTCAGCGATAGCGGGTTGTGTTAGCGGTTATCAGATAGCGGATTGTATTAGCAGGTTTGACCAGCAGATTGTATTAGCGGTTTATAAAAAAATATTTGATAAAATTAGCTGTTTAAATTAGCGGTTAACATGTAAAATGATCATAAGGGTATACATTATAATTTATAATTTATAATTTATAATAATAAAAATAATTTAAAAAAAAAAAAAAAAAAAAAAAACGAAAGAAGGGAGCAGCACAAGCTGCTCCCCTCTTGTATTCCCACTTTTCCCACCGTCCCACATCGGTGGGAAAAGTGGGAATGGAGCCTTGAGGCTCCTATTTAAGGAGCCTCAAGGCTCCACAAGTTTGTTGCCCATCCCAGATGGGCAACATTGAGGTAAGGAGCCATTTCGGCTCCTCAATAAGTTTTAATTTTTTTTTTATTTTTTTTATAATATATATACAGGGGCGTTTGGGGAAAATTTAATTTTTCCCAAAACGCCAATCCCAAACGTTGCTCCTAGCAGCGTTTGGGATTTCAGCGGTTTGGAGCAAACCGTTGCTCCAAACCGCTGATAACCAAACATGGTTTTTTGGCGTTTTGACGGAAGTCAAAACGCCAAAATGGTGGATTCGCTAAAAAATTGGCGGATCCGCCATTAACCAAACAAGGCCAATGTTACATTCATGGTGATATTATTTCACTTTTTTCCTATATATATATATATATATATATATATATATATATATATATATATATATATATATATATATATATGGATGCACTCAGGTGTGAATAAGTGCCCAGGAAGGAATATGCGAACGAATCAGCGCGCGACACGTGTTCAGATCTAATAACTTAAAAAAAAACACGGTGGCATTTTCGTAAATAATTGAACATCGAAGTGCAAGTAAAATCACTTACAAGTGCACATATTTTCACCTATAAGTGCATGTAATTTTGCCTTGTTAGCATTCACTTCCCGCAAACATTCATGCACCTGGGTATGCTTATAACTATAGGTGCAACTATTTATAACTACAGGTGCAACTACTTATAACTATAGGTGCACCTACTTTCAGCTATAAGTGCATGTAATTTTGCCTTGTTAGCATTCACTTTCCGCAAACATTCATGCACCTGAGTGTGCTTATAACTATATGTGCAACTATTTATAACTATAGGTGCAACTACTTATAACTATAGGTGCACCTACTTTCACCTATAAGTGCATGTAATTTTGCCTTGTTAACATTCATTGATCTGAGTTCAGCGGGTAGTAATACCCCTGAAAACCACTCGCAAACATTCATACACCTAGGTGCAACTACTTATAACTATGTGTGCAACTACTTAGAACTATAGGTGCAACTACTTAGAACTATAGGTGCAACTAGGTATTGATGCTCAGTGTAAATTTTTACTTGCATCTATAATACATTTTACATGCACTTGTAATACATTTTACTTGCACTTCGATGTTCAATTATTTACGAAAATGCCACCGCATTTTTTTAAAAAAATCTGTGTTTCTCATCCATTAGATCCAGACACGTGGACGAACATAATTCATTCCTATTTCGCGCCTGGGCGAAGCATTCGCACCTGAGTGCGATTATATATATATATATATATATATATATATATATATATATATAAGGGTATTCAAATGAGGACAACTATATTATTAAGGACTGTGAAGACAAATGTAGTTGTGTGTATGTCCGGATGTAGTTGAGTGCCATAATTTGTATGTCGTGTGCATAGTTTGTTAATTAATAAAGTTGTGTTCGAAACCTGATATTTACATGTATATTAGTGTGTTTATCGTGTGCCCATTATCTGTCCGCATAGTCATCTATATATTGATGTTCTCGTGTGAACACACACACACACACATACATACATACATACATACATACATACATACATACATACATACATACATACATACATACATACATACATACATACATACATATATATATATATATATATATATATATATATATATATATATATATATATAGTGAGGTTTCTGTGTAAACAGTGCTTCTCGTGCGAGTGTGCGACCATGCACCATAAAGTGTTTGAAAATACACCATTATGTGTGGTGCATTTTTGTGACATTTTATTTTGGTTCATTTTCGAACACTGTATGGACGAAAAGTCCTGGGCTTATTTGAACATATATATATATATATATATATATATATATATATATATATATATATATATATTACTACGTAGTAGTATTATAATTATAATAATAATAATAATAATTATTATTATTATATTTTTGTGGTGGATCAATAAACTAATGAGTATATTGAATTTCATTGACATATCCGAATGAATATTAAGTGGAGAATAGGTATATTTATAGAAAATGTAAGTTTAATTCTTCGCTAAATCAATTTAGCCTATTCGCCTCTTGGTTTGAGTCGATCTATGCTAGTTTACCTCATAATGTACACTTTCAAATAGTGACTGCGGATTTATATATCACTAAAACAATTATGTTACCTCAACTCAATCCATCATTGCTTGATATATTTAATTTATAACTATACAATATTTGTTTTTAAGGAAAAAAAAAACAAGCATTAAATATTTGGTATTTCCTAATTTGATTACAAAAAATCACATAAGGCAATACATGCACATGTTAGTGGAGAGTAAAATTTGTATATATCAAGTTACTTGATAAGTAATACTCTGTAAAAAATAAAAATGAATTACATAAAACGCAATCACCAAACACATATTAATATGGGCGGAGGAGTAAAAAAAATGTGTAGTCCAAACAAGAACATTGGATTGAATGAGTTAATATCATTTATGTACTATTTATACAATTATCAAGTCCAACCAAAAAAGGAAAAAATCAAAAGAGAGCAAAAACTTAATATTAACAACCCCACATGTTCAATACCATACATAATTGATGACAATTACCTTGAGTTGATAACTTTTATTCCACGTTATTTTTTACTCCTTAATATTTAATTATTGAACACAATGACTAATATTATCATGTGATAACTTTTATTCCACGTTATTTTTTACTCCTTAATATTTGACCGTAAATTATAAACATATCTTTTGGGTGGAATGTTCTATACCCAAAATCAATGATCAAACTCTTGACATTTAGTTAAGGATAGATGAGTTCTTTCCATTCAACCACACTCTCAAGTTATATTTCCCATAGACTCATGAAAAAGTATTTAAACCCGTCTTTTATTATAAAAAAAATTACAAATAACCATTACAATAATACAACTAAAAACTTCTTGTTTGAATTCTGATATAAAACTACGTGTATGTGGTATTTTACTTTTTTTTTTTTTAATTTAATGCTACCGACTCTGTAATATAGTATCTGTTCATACATACTTTCTTAACCTACTGAGAAGTCACAGCTATGCCACTCGACCACAAGGTCTTTGGCTGATATTTTACTTTTTAATTTAAATTTTTAAAATAATGTTTAAGTCATATGAGGTGTCCTGAACATGTCCTAATGGTAGGAGACACGTTTAAAATATTTGATAGGTAGAATATTACGGAGTATTATTTTCATAATAATTATAAAATAGGGATAAATCTTCTTTAGAATCTCATCTTTTTGGATAATCATTGAATTTTTTTTAAAATTTCCCCATTTATCGGAATATAATTAATAAAAGAATTAATAAATGTTTCTTATTTCGAATACAAGATAAATATATAATAATGTCGCATAATAATTAATCTTAATCCCAGTCCTACTCAAAACCGTCAGTCCGTCACGCTTTGTCAACATTCACAGCACTTGTCTGAAAAAACCTACACAGTACAACCCTAGACACACACACACCCCTTCCAGCTCTCTCTCTCATACTGCAACACACTTCAGTCCCCTATACTCCGTCCCGCCGCCGCCAACCGCCGCGGGGTCCGTTGTCGCCGTTTTCGTTTCGTTTAGTTATTGCATTTGGAACGCCGTTGTTTTACCAGGGCCGACGCTTTTCAGTTTTCAGGCTTTTTTCTGTTTGGCATTGAGAGGAGATTAAATCGTTTTCGGTTATCGCACGGGGTATAGAGATAGGCGATTACGTGTGTACTAGGTTGTTAAATTAGAGGTTATTGAGAATGGCGGAGAATGAGGGAGCCGGAGATGATCATCAGGGGCTCAGTGGGCCCCCCAAGTCGCACTGGAAGACGCCGCCGCAGGCGACGGGCGAGATTTCGTCGCCGGTAGCGGCATCGGATTCTGATTCGTGGCCTGCGCTTTCCGATGCTCAGCAGCGGCTCAAGACTAACGGCTCTGGTTCAGGTTCATCCAAGTCGCCGCCTCCGCCGCCGCCGCAGCAAACCAAGGCGGCCGACGCTACTCCCGCTCCTCCACCTCCGGTTTCGGTCAGTTTTCATTTCTGTCTTGTTTATTCCTCATTTCCGTAATGATCCTTTACACTTCGTGGTGAATAACGCCCTCTGTACTTTTGTGATCTTTACGCCTGGCTTGCCGCCATTTGCTTTTGTGATCGTTATGTACGGCTAGTTCAATTTTAACTGTACACTTTGTTGTATTGAGAGATCAGAGATAAGTGTTTCAATTTATTGAATTTTCATTCTTTGTGATTTGTTGTATTTTAAGGGCGCCGGAGAGCAGCGGAAGTTTCAGGGGCATGCCAATGCTAAACCTTCAAATAGGCCCCTGCCTGCACGCCAACCAAAAGCAGGTCCAAGGCACAGGCCAAATGGTGTACCCCCATTTCCAGTGCCCATGGCTTATCATCCACCAGCAATTCCTCCTGTTTACCCTGCCATTTTACCTGTTCCACAGTTTCATGTGCCTGGATACGCCTACCAGCCTCCCCGAGGCCCATTTCCAGGTACTGAAAGTCACATGGTTAAGTCTGGTTCCAATACTGCAACTCAAGCCTTTGTTCCACCAGGTAATGGTAACCTTGAGCCACCACAAGGGGATCATATTCCCTATGATTCCAAATCTTTTATTGGAAGGCCAAATGAGCATCAGCGCCCAATTGGCTCTAAAGACAACATTCAGCTACAACCAAGCATGGGCCAAAGGCCTTTCATAAGACCTCCATTTTACGGTCCAGCTCCAGCGTTTGTTGATGGAGTAAACTTTCATGGTAATTTCTTACTGTTAGGTGCCATTCAGAAGTGGGCACTTTTATGCTATAAATAGAATCTTGCCTCTATGTGATTGTTTCTTTTGCACCACCTTAGAAGGTCACTATAAAACACTAGTGATATTCTCATTGCACTTAGAAGTATTGGGTGCCTCTTAATACTAATGGCAATTTCATCTATTTTATTACTCTAATAATTACTGATCTTTCATGTTGTAAAAATGCATAATATATTTCATATTTCACACAGGACCTCCAGGAGCTATATATTTCCTCCATCCTGCACCCCCAATTGGTGTCAGAGTGCCTTACCCACCTCACTTTATCCCACCCCCAATGGCTGGAGCTCCTATGCCACCCTCTCCAATATTAACTTTAAGAGCTAGCATAATAAAGCAAATTGAGTATTATTTCAGGTGAAATACTATTGTTGTTATTATTATTGTTGTTGTTATTGGTATTTTATAAATATATAAATACTATAACATATGTATGGGGTTTGGGGCTTTGCCGGGTGGTAATCTGATCTTCTTACCAAATTCCATCTACCTATCCCCTCTGATGTGCCATAAGAACAAATTATTGTTATCATTATACATATATCTTTGGTGTAATAGCTTGTTGAATAAACTATCTTAGGGTAGCCTTGTCCTGGTGACCTTGTGGGGGTGTTTTTCCTCTCCAATCTAACACCTCCTTTTTTGCAATAATATAGGTAACTGGTTTCTGTATTTGTGTCATACATACTCTGAAATAAACTTGGGCAACAAAGCCAACAATCATATTTTATTGGGAAAAGGGTCAAATAAGCCCCTAAACTTTACTTGAAAAGTCAATTAGGTCCCTAAACTTTTAAAAAGTACAATTACACTCTTTAACATGCTATATTGAGGCAATGAAGTCCAAGAACAGGTAAATGACTTGGTATTACAGGTCATTTTGGTTCCGGCCAAAATCTAGCGACGGCAACGGCCGAACTGTTGCCGGTCGCCATCTACAAGAGAAGGTGACCAGGTGGTCGCCTTCTCCGGCGGAAGGTGACCTATTGGCCGCCTTCCGCCACCTTCTCTGGTAGATGGCCGGTCGTCGGATTTTAGCCGGAGAGGATGTCGGAACCGAAATAACCTGTAATAGCAGGTCATTTACCGGTTCTTGGACTTCATTCCCTCAATATAACATGTTAAAGGATGTAATGTAATTGCACTTTTTAAAAGTTTAGGGACCTGATTGACTTTTTAGGTAAAGTTTAAGGGCTTATTTGACCCTTTTTCCTATTTTATTTTATTTTATGCTTGCTTTGGTGCTCTGGTGCCTGCAAATTCCAGAATTATTTTATAGTTTGGAATTTCACGTGAAAGTTTTCTGTACTTGCAAGGCATACAATGTGCACATGTCAATATACAACCTGTGTTCTAAACTATATATATAGTGCACTATTTGATAGTCAAAACTAATTATTACTTGACAGTGTAATTCTTTAGAAGTCTTTTGAGAAAAACAATTATACTCTTTGTTTGAATGCTTATTGCTTTAGCTTCCCGGTACCAACAAATGCTAAAATTATTGTTTTATGTGGAGTATTAGAAGTTCACATTAAAGTTTTTCTGTACTTATGCAAGGCATACAAAATGCACATGTGTAGTTACATACTCCCTCTGCTATAATAGACTATGTAAAATATAAATGGTGTGCACAATTTGGGAGTCAAAACTACAAAGTACCTTGTGACTGCATTTTGTGTCAAATATTCTGTATTTTTTTTTCAATATGTGTGTGTCTTTGCACATGTATCTTTGAATGCTATACTTTCTGACACCTACAAATTCTAGAATTATGTTATAGCATGGAAATTCGTTTGAATGTTTTTATGTACTTGTGTAAGTCAAACATTATAAACATGTACTCCCTCCATTCTAAACTACAGTATATAAATAGGTAACCATTTAAATAGCCAAATAGTCACTATTTGAGTGTCAAACTGTTAAATACTTTTCTTATGTCTGAATTCCTTGTAGGTTTATTTTATTTTATTTTTTTAATGTATTTTTTGTTTTATGTATTTATTTTTATCTCAATAGTACTTATTATGTGGTCTTAGGGAGTGAGATTAGTGACTTTAATTATAGAACTTAGATTTGAAAGTAGAAACTCAACTATGTAGACTAAATTTGGATGGAGTGCATTTTTACTTAGTGTGGTTTATCTATATCTTGAGTTAATCTAACTTGTTCCCAAAGTGTTGGAGAGTATTGTAATGTTTAGAATCTTTGACTTCCTTTTGGCAGTGATGAGAATTTGCGGAATGACCACTACTTGCTTTCTCTGATGGATGATAAAGGTTGGGTTCCAATTTCTACTATTGCTGATTTTAAAAGGGTATGTTCTAATTGAGTTTTCACTTAATTATGTAATTTTTTCTGGATTTATCATTTGTTACATTAATTGTGTGTGTGTGTGTATGCGTAGCTAATTTCATATGTAATCTTGGTGGTATGATTTGCTGCAAACTTTGTTCTCTTTTTGCGATTGATTAGCACAGGAAACTTTATTCTTGAATAAAAACCAACGTTTTATTATTCATATTGACTTTCAGGTCAAGAGCATGAGTACGGATATACCTTTTATCCTGGATGCATTGCAGGCTTCAAGTACAATTGAAGTTCAGGTGAAATGTCTTTCCTTTCTCTGGCATACCCTGACACCTCTTTCTTTTCATTTTCATTTTGTTTCTAAGTTCTAATGCTAAGCTTCTTTTATTAGTATTTCATTGCCTTCATTCCTCTACTATGTATTATTTCTATCTATAGGGAAACAAGGTGAGGAGACGTGACGAGTGGGTGAAGTGGGTTCGAACTACTGCTGATCAGAAATCATCCCCTCCTGTTCCGACTCCCCAGGAGCAATCTGGTGAAAAGGTTGTCCATGATTTGAAGAACAAGGAGCTCAATGAAGAAACAGTGGACAGCGTTGGGGTGACAATTCCACCGGCAAATGGAGTTTCCCTTGAGCCCCAATCATTAGTTGCAGAACCACAAAAATTGCTAGTTGGTAATGGTACAGGGAACATAAGAAAGATGCCCCAGGTTCTTGATCAAGCATCTCATTTACAGAGTGGTGTTGTGAACACACAATCTGGTAGAATTGATAAAATTGGTTCTGTTGATGGTTGTGCTGGGCCATCCTTTATAGAAGACACAGGAAATGCTGACACAGATTCTTTTGGGGGCCATCAAAGCATGGTGTCTTCAGATATGGTTGGGCAGAACATGGATGACTTATCTAATGATTTCTCAAGCACTTTCATGCTTGATGAAGAGCTAGAATTTGAGCATAAAACAACAGTGAAAAACCATATGGCTTTAACAGGAAGGTAGGAGAATGTTGTCTATAAATTAATACATTAACGGTTCACTTATGTTTCTAGATTTGTTAAGCCTTTCTGTTAACTTGCTATAGCCCTTGCCTTATTGTTCTTGATAAATAAGTTCTAACAGAATTGTAGCATTTATATAAGCATTGTCTTCTTTACACACACACACACATAATTTTTTTGAAAGTAACCTCTATGAATATATCATGGTTCACTCATTGGCATCTTAAATCGTTTTAGTCTCATTGATTTTCTGCGAAATCCCATCCATATTAGAGGTTGCTTAAATGACTACAATAGTACAATTAGAGTTGAGTCATATTTGGCTTGAGTTTACCTTCTCTTAGAGTATAACTTTTTTACCATATTGTTAAATGGTAAAACATATGGAGTCCTAAACGGAGTAAATGCTATCCTTATTGCTTCACTTTGATGGCTCCCTGCAGAGTTGATGATGAAGATGATGAGATGGGTATGAATGATGAGGATATTGAGAAACTTGTTATTGTCACTAGGGTAAGAACTGTTATATGTACACTCGTTGTGTCTAATATTTTCTACAGATATTTCACAAATTGGACAATAATTTTTATTTTACTTGATTTTGTCTATAATTCAATTTGAAAATACCTATTTTACTGTATCCTTTATGTTCTATAATACATATATCTATGAGTATTATATTTTGCTTCAACTGTTGTCACCAAAAAAAACACACATAAACAGAATCTGAATCCAAAAACTATGTTACCTCCACTATTTGTTTGGATTAAGAGTTGCTGTATGGTTTAAGAAATTGCATGTCTTTCCCCAACTATAGCTTTCATTAGCACAGATAAGAAAGACGTATTTTTTTTTAGTAATACTTAACCCTTTACTGAGGTAAATGGATTCCTCAACTAGAAGGGACTGAGTCATAGTTGAGCTGTGTTCTTCAAAGAAAGTGAATATCAATTAATAATACAAATGAAGCAAAATTATGATGCATTATTATTGTATACTGCATTATTTTTGTTACATGAAGAAATTCCATCAGTAGTTTGTGAATTTAGTGGGATCTACGTAGGGCTTTCACTTAGGATTTACCTATCATGAATTATCTTTTACTTGCCTTTTACACACTGATCATCGAATTTACACATTATTTATCTGAAAATTAACCTTTAACTATTTTGGGTAAGTAGTTTGGTCACAGTGCCAAATCCATGATGCAGTTAATTCTTTTTGGAGACCACTTTATACACTTGTTCAAAGCATGCTTACTTTGAATCTAGAGCTATAAATAAAAACTTTTGTGGAATTATTGAAGATCTAATTGCAGCTTGATAATATCTGTGTACACCTTAAGGAATAATAAAAACATAGTAAAAGCTACTTGTTTTCATGACCTGGAGTTGTGTTTGAACTTTGTGGTTTGGTGCAGAATACCCAAATCCATGGAGAGAGTGGTACTACTGGGAAAAAGTCAAATCCCATAACTTCTGAGCTTGCTTCTGCAATAAATGATGGCCTCTACTACTATGAGCAGGTTTCTATTGCTCTATTTATATATTTATCTCAATTTCAACAGTAGAATGTTTTGCTGATAATATTTAGCAATTTTCAGGAACTCAAAGCTCGGCGATCTAACCGTAGATTCTATAACTCTAGTAATGAAGCTAGAGATGAGAATTCTAGATCTTCTGCTACTCTAGCTGCTTTATCAAAACCGAGGACCAGTGATCATTCTTCTGAAGGCAATGGCTATGAATGGCCTGAGAACTCAAATTCTCGAAGGAAACAAATTAAAGGATTCTCTAAACAGTACTCAGTACATAAACAGAGGCTTTTTATTGGTAACTCGAGAAATCATGGAACTAATCGGAGCAGCCTTGGAATAATATCTGAAAGTCCACCTTGTGATTCCGTAGGCTTTTTCTTTGGTTCTACACCCCCTGACAGTCACGGGTGAGTTCAGAGTTACTATTTCTGCAACAGTGTTGAGTTACTGTGGCTTTAACTGAGGCCCTAATTTAGACCTTTTTTTTTTACATTCTAAAATTTTTTAGATTACTAACTACATAACTAGCATTTTATTGCATTCTTTTTCTAAAACTGATGTGTATTTTCCAGGCCAAGGCCTTCAAAGTTGAGTGCTTCCCCTCGTGGCAGTCTTTCAGGCAGTAGTCCACCTGTTGGTTCCATGCCAAAGCCATTTCCACCTTTCCAGCACCCAAGTCATAAACTTCTACAGGAAAATGGGTTCACCCAACAGCTGTGAGAAGATTGGCTTTATATGAGTTTATGTCTCTTTATATGTTTTTGATGTGCATTTTTACCAAAAAGAAAAGAGGGGGGGGGGGGGGGGTGCATGTTAATATACGTGCATAGATATCTATGTTAACTCTTTATGCATCTTTATTTTTCCTAATAACTTGTCTTTCTTTATTTATTCAGGTACAAGAAGTATCACAAGCGCTGTCTAGGTGAGCGCAAAAAACTTGGAATTGGCTGCAGCGAGGTGCTTACTCTCTTTTGAATCTTTTTTGGTTTTATTAAACTAAGTTATTGTCTTAGAATTGTATGCTGATTTCATTGATATGAGTTCTGGTACAAGATGTATTTTTTCTGAAGTTTCATCCCCTCCCCTCCAAAAAATAAAAATACAACATTACCACCTGGAACTTGAAAACAGGAATATAAAGACAGCATTGATGTTCAAAAAATGTTCTTGCTGCCTTTCTGCAAAGGCTTTTGTGGTTGAAATAAGAGACCCCTTGCTTCCACCAATCCTTGCTGCTATTGTGTATCTCTGTCTTTTGAATAAGAATGCGTTTTCCTATCCACATGGTGGCACTCATGAACAATTACAACATGAATGATTGACTTCGCACACTACTTCAGATATGAAATTTAAAACCATTCTTATATAAGTGCACCAACACTAAATTTGAATGACATCCTCGCCAATAGCATTCTTCTTATCATCCATATTTTCTCTTTCCTTTTCTGCTATTAAGATGAAAGAACAATAGTCAAACTATCTCCATTCACGAGGTTGCATCATGGTAGTTTGACATGGTTTTTTTGTGTTTGTTAAACATAACTGAGTTCCATAGCCAATAATTTAGAATATATTAACTGTAACTAGTAAAATACTATGGTCAGAATTTAGTTCTGATGGAAAGTGAAATTGAAGTTCATATAGGGAAATATGGAATTTTGGGTCTTAAACTATTGAAACTATTTCATGTACTTCACTAAACCACATACTTGTCCTTGAAATTCAAAACAATAAGCTGAAACCACCAGCTTATTATTCTTTACTTGTTCATCCATCTAAAGCATACATCTGTGTTTATCATTACTGTTTGTGGCCTGTAAGGTTGATGCTGCAAAATCTAAGTGCGATTACTTGTGTGTTTTCTTGGATGCAGGAAATGAATACATTATACAGGTTTTGGTCATATTTCCTGCGAAATATGTTTATAAAATCAATGTATAATGAATTCTGGAAATTTGCCCAAGAAGATGCTGCTGCTAATTATAACTATGGAATGGAGTGCCTTTTTAGGTTCTATAGGTATGATTGTCATGTCATTGTCTTCTGACCTGCTGCAATTATCCTTGTTAACTCCTGAATGGTAGTAGATTTTGAAGCCTATATGTATGTTGCCATTTTTTATTTGGTGCTCAGTGTGCTAAACAGCTTTGTTTTTAACTAGACAGTGCTCTTTCTTTCTATGATAGAAATTCTTGATGCTATTTAGAGTAAGTAATTAGTTATCAATTTTTTTTTTTTCATGACTGCAGTTATGGCTTGGAGAAGGACTTCAGGGAGGACCTTTATGAGGACTTTGAAAAGCTGACACTCGACTTCTATAACAGAGGCAACCTCTATGGCCTTGAAAAATATTGGTAATTATTTTACTCGTTTGAAATTTGTCCTGTTTCTTTTGTATCTCCTCTCACATGCTTATCTATGGGTATCTAACTTTTCCTAGGCCCATGAACTTCAGAGTTCAGTTAAACTCTTTTAGTGAATCCTCTTAAAGTCTACTTCGCATTCTTTTCTATGAAATACTATACACCGAATTCAAGGGAAAAATAGTAGGGGGCCAAAAAGATAATATGATTCCTGGAGTTTAGGAACCCAAAATTAAAGAATTAACTTATCTCTCTTCTTAAGACCTAATATTGTAACTGGGCTAGAGACATTGTTGATTTCCAAAGAAGATTTCCAGTGATATTCAAGTAATTGCTTCTTCATAAATCTCAAATATGAGATACTGTCATTTTCTCTAAAAGAAGAATCCACTGACGGATTCTTGTGCACTGGAGCTGTATTTGGAAGTGATTAGAAGAAATGGTTGAAGGATTTTATGGACAAGGACATAAATTACCAATATTTCAATTTCTTACTAATATTACTGTCTCATTCTTCTACTTCATTTTGCAGTTATCAGTAGTTCTTAGTTCCTGACCTTTTTATGGTGCTTTTGGCAGGGCATTTCACCATTATCGTGAGGCACGAGATCAAAAAGCACCACTGAAGAAAAATCCAGAATTGGATCGGTTGCTCAAAGAAGAATACCGTAGTTTGGATGACTTCAAGCATGCCAAGGAGAAGACTGCTACGACATAAGAGGAGAGGGCGTGTTTCTTAGCTGTAGAACTGACAATGTCCAAAAATATTAGAAAGGTGAGGCTAACAGTTTATGCGGTGAGGTGGAATTGATTCTGTGTTTTGGATGGAGTGGGAAGCGAGCATTGCTGATTTTTGTACATAATAGTGTATTTCTGGGTTTGAATTTTACCCGGTTTTGAGGGCGGAGCAAAAGAGTTTATTTTTTGTATTTAGAGGTTTCATTAGAAGTGCCCCTGTAATTGTTTTTTGGAAATTTTTCAGCCAGCTCTGGAGAGGCACCCTTTCTTTCGTTGTTTCTAACTTGTATATAGCAAATAATGGGAAAAAAAATGATGAAAAAAGTTTGACTTGGATGTTAATTTTGTAATCTATTTGTTGCTCTTATTTCAATATTTTGTTATATTTAAGCAATTTGGATTAGTCAATGAGTGACAAATTATGCATATAATACAGTTTTGACGTTGAGGAGGTCGGGTCGGTCTGGTTTTTGAAGACGACAAGCTAAGGGAAAGGGATGGAGGCTATTGAATTACTCAGCAAGCAAGATTGGAGCTAAGGAGTTTACAGAATCCATCTTCCCTCGTGGCAAGAATTTTAAAGGCAAAATATTTTCCCAAGACTTCAATTCATTTCTGGAAGTAAGTGATGGCTGTTACTGTCCATCAGAGGCGGATCGGAAGCTGTAGGGATCAAACAAGCTCTCACTTGGCTCAAGGAGAAGGAAGTGGATTCAGTTGTTGTTGAGAATATATTGAGATGCGTGCTCCGCTGGTATACAGGGAAATACAGCAACAAAGATCAATTTCATCATTTGGCTTGTTGGTTACTGATATTAAAGTCTTAGCAGAGAATTTAGTAACTTCATTTTCTCTTTTTTTTTTTTTTTTGCAAGACGATCTACGAATTGGAGGTTTACTCACTTGTGAGACACATCGTTCCTGAGTCACATTGTATAGAATGTTCAACCATTCCAGGCCTAGCAATTTGTGTATATGGGTTATGGGTCGACACAATAACAACACGAACACGATAAGGCTAAACACGGGCATGACACGAAAATGTTAATATATAGGTTGAAATTCTAAATACGAACATGATTTGTAAACGGATTGATACGATAGACATATTTTGATAACATATTGCAGGTCGTGTCGACACAAAACCCGTTTAAACTTGCTAAAAACCTATATATATAGGGATGCACTCAGGTGCGAATAAGTAACCAGGAAGGAATATGCGAACGAATTCGCGCGCGACACGTGTCCAGATCTAATAGCTTAAAAAAACACAGTGTCATTTTCATAAATAATTGAACATCGAAGTGCAAGTAAAATCACTTACAAGTGCACCTACTTTCACTTATAAGTGCATGTAATTTTGCCTTGTTAGCATTCGCTTCTCGCAAACATTAATGCACCTGGGTGTGCTTATAACTATAGGTGCAACTATTTATAACTATAGGTGCAATTACTTATAACTATAGGTGCACTTACTTTCACCTAGAAGTGCATGTAATTTTGCCTTGTTAACATTCATTGATTTGAGTTCAGCGGGTAGTAATACCCCTGAAAACCACCCGCAAACATTCATGCACCTAGGTGCAACTACTTATAACTATATGTGCAACTACTGCACTTAGTATTGATGCTCAGTGTAAATTTTTTACTTGCACCTATAATACATTTTACATGCACTTGTAATACATTTTACTTGCACTTCGATGTTCAATTATTTACGAAAAATGCCACCGCGCTTTTAAAAAAAAAATCAGCGTTTCTCATCCATTAGATCTGGACTAGTGGACGGACAGAATCCATTCCTATTTCGCTCCTGGGCGAAGCATTCGCATGTGAGTGCGATTATATATATATATATATATATATATATATATATATATATATATATATATATATATAGAATTACATTAATGTAAAAACATGGTTTAAAATACAAACGTGTGGACATTTTTGGATCGTTGGATTTTGGATATCTAAGGTTGTGATTAGTTTTTATGTGCTGTGTCCACCTGTGTGCACTATCGTTCATGGGCGTGTGCACACTGGCCCAAATACTGTGGATTCACACATACATACTACGGATGTGTGCACACCCACATTTAGGTGTGTGCACTGTCGTCCACAGATGTGTGCACACCCGCATTTAGATGTGTGCATTGTATATGTCCACATGTTTGTATTTTAAGGATGTTTGCATGTGAATACAACTATATATATAAAATTCAGTTCCAGTGCGATTGGGTGTTCCTGTGCGGTTGTGCGGTTAAATATGAGCCATTGATTTTGCTTAAATCAACATTCATGATTAATAAAATAAAAAAAAATGCGGTGACAATTTGATAATTTTTGCATCTAGGTCAAATTTAAGGTGCGTGGGTTTTCTTTCTTAAGGTGCGTGGGTATTCCTTCTTAAGGTGTGTGATTTTTGTATTTAAGGTGCGTGGTTTTTGTTCTTAAGGTGCGTGATTTGTGTGCTTAATGTGAGTAGTTGTTGAAACTTAAGGTGCGTCAACTTGAAGCTTAAGGTGCGTGAGTTGTTGAAACTTAAGGTGCGCCATTTTAAAACCTCAGGTGCGTGGTTTGTGTACTTAAGGTGCGTTGGCCTAAAGATTTAGGTGCGTGTGATTTATGTTCTTCAGGTGCTTTATTTGTGTGCTTAGGGTGTGTGATTTGTGTACTTAAGGCGCGCCATTTTAATGTTAAGCGTCAACCGCACGGGAAGCTATACCCGCACTTGAACCCTTCTATATATATATATATATATATATATATATATATATATATATATATATATATATATATATATGGAGTGGATCATGTGCAAAGATAACTTCCCATGCAGTTCTGTGGTTAACACAAAAAGATGCACCTTAAGCATTAACATGGCACACCTTAAGTAAACAAACCACGCACCTTAAGCACACAAATAAAGCACCTTAAGAACACAAACCATGCACCTAAAGTTTTAAAATGACGCACCTTAAGTGTTACACGCCACTTTTTTCTAGAACTTAATTACAATTCTAATCCAAAATTAACATAAATAAGCAGTGGATAAATAACTTAAATAAGATGACTAGTGGGAATGTCACCACCACAACCACCACTCCGTAGTGATTGCATAGGCTAAGGGTAGAACTAGAATATAAATAAATAACTAACTAACAATCCATCAACTTTATTTAAGCATAAGGGGAATATACACGTCCCAAAGTCTACATCATCAAAACATATCCAAACATCATGGGTCTAGAATCCGATAGATAAAATCATAACAAGACATAAAGAGTTTAGACATCTAAAACTAAAAGACTAGTCTAACTCGATCACTTCTCATTGCTGGGCCCACCTGAAAGGGGTTTTACAAGCAACACATAGACAAATAGGAAAACACCCGTTAGCACGAAGTTAAGTATAACCACACTCAACCCTGTAAAGTACTATAGAATATACTTTGGAAAACATTTGTATACAACAATCTCATCACATAGGCAACTATAATCACGCCACATACTTTCTATATACTTGCAACCTATAATATCAACAGGCATGCTTCAAGACAAAAGACTTAACAACATAGATATTTCATCAAGTAAACATCACAACAAACTTATCAAGTAACTCATGCTTACAAATAAACCACACGAAAGTTATTCTCATGCTCTCAAGTTCTCATCATGCAACTGGATATACAAGACTTCAAATGTAACTAAACAATCATGCTCGATATACAATCTTAAATCAACATTCTCATTATGCAATCTCAGGCAATACTCTACTCACATGCAATCTCGTGCAATACTATAAATATACTCATATGCAATCTCGTGCAATACTATAAATATACTCATATGCAATCTCGTGCTATACTATAAATATACTCATATGCAATCTCGTGCAATACTATACTCATATGCAATCTCGTGCAATACTATAAATATACTCATACACTCGTTGTAAAAATAGAGTACTTTCTGTGGAGGTCTCATTGAGTCATAAATGACTTTCTTTCTTTCTTTCTTTCTTTAGAGTCGCAATGACTCACTTCTTTCTTTCTTGGAGTCGCAATGACTCATTCTTTCTCTTTTAGAGTTGCAATGACTCATACTTTCTCTTTAAATGGACGAGGTAGGAACTTCATTATAGTGTGAATGAACCTATCCTGTAACCGACCTAATACTCTGCTTGTCCACCGAACCACTCTCTTGGTTCTATGCTCAAACTCTGTAGAATCAGGTATCGAACTATTAGCGTGCACACCCCTTAACCAAGATTTCAAGCCTGACGGGCAGTTTCCAACCTCGTAACGTGGGAATACATCGCGTTACATATACTGGGACCGCAATGTCTATAAAATCATTCGAGAGGACATAGTCCAAACGGGGTCCTCCAAAACCTCACTGATATAGATAATACATAAATATATCTCTCATGCATCAATCTCATGCATGCAACAACTCAACAACTTCTCAATGCATCAGATAATGATATACCACATGCTTATGGATTTTTGAAAGTAATACTTGGGCTCACGTTGGCCCCTTATGCATTTTTGAAATATGATATATGCGAGATGCAAAATACTCTACAACATGCTCCAAATCCATGTGTATAATCCATAAAATTCTCAAGGATACAATATCATACTCAGTTTGCAACGTAGCAAATTCTATATACTACTATCAACCAAATATGCCTCAAATCTCACATTTTAGTCATGCTTTCATAATAAATCATATTTTCAAAGTGATCATGCTTCTTTACTCAATACAAATATAACATCAGACACAAAGCAAAACATTTCTCAAACACAGTGAACTTCACAATATATACCGTGTAGCAATTTCTTCAATAAATCCATCATAACATGCTCATTTTTGATTCAAAATCAGCGAAGTCAAAGACAAAACGTGCGTCGAGACGACTCCGAGGTACCGAGCCACAAGGGCCCGTGACACCTGGACCGAAACGACACGTAGCTGAGCCACAAGGGCCTGGCCACTGCACAAAAACCTCTCAGATCATAACTCAGGGACCTGGGGCAGGACTCCTCATGAGCCGCCCCATGTAGGTCGTTACATGGCCGGGCCTAGGCAACGTCCCTCTCCTAGAGCCGTGCCCTAGGCCCGGTTGGCCCCGGCTCTAGCCGGCGGCCCTCCTGATGGGCCGCGGCTCTGATCTGGTGCGCACTGTTGTTGTGTGCGCACCAGATAGGTATTTTCATATGCAAAATTCAATCCAAGCATGTCCAAAACACCCAAAACATTCTCAACACTTCAAAGACAAATACTAGATCAATTCCAAGCTCAAACACAACAACATTTCACCATTTCTAAACATTTCTACTCAGTAAAATAGGCTTCACAG